AGGATTAGTAATTTAATACCATACAGATTTATATTTTTTTATTTATATTTTAAATTAAAATTTTTTATTTAATAAATATTAATTCAACTAAATTCATATTAATATTAAATATTTAATACTGCCACCGCGAAAAAAGTGACAGCCAGTTTGACGGTGGTGTTGTCGGTGAATCTGACCCGCCACCATGACCAGGGCGGCTCAAATGTGAGGCCATTTGAAACCTTATGACGCAAGATAGACGTGATGCAACTGAAGTTTTTTTTGTTCCTGGTTTTCTACTATTTAAATAGAAACTGCACTTTTTTTTTGGGCAGTCAAAACTGTACATTAAAAAGGGTAATAGCTATGATAATCTCTTGAGGCAATTCTTGTGTCTAGAGGATGCGATTGGTACGATTACTATAGCTACGGATTGTGAATTTAAATTTTAGGCAATTTTGGCCCATTCCTCCGCATCACACTTACATTTTTAGGCATAATTTTTCTTATAACTTGAATTATTACTTATTGGAGTCTGGGAGATAATATAAGATGGGTGCTGAGAAGCGAGGTCCAATGACTTTTTCACTTTTCTTTGAAATCACAGAAAAATTTTATCTTTTAAAAATTTTTTTGTAGTTTTTATTTTTTATTTTGTAGTGCCAATTGATTTTTAATTGAAATTATAATGCTTGAATAATAATTTCTAAATAATCCGGGCTGAGCCAGTGCACGCGGTGTATTTAGAGATGACCCTGGCAGATGGTTGCTGGGCTTCACCAGACATATTAGTCATTCTTCTAGTCCTGCGGCTGAGTTGTGGGCAATTCGGGATGGGCTATCCATTGCTCTTAGCAAGGGTTTTAACAAAACTATTCTTGGAATTAATTCTAAGATTGCCAAGTCATTGATTGATGATTGTATCTGTGAGTTTCGTTCACTGGGTACCCTTGTTTCTGACCGCAGAATGTTGGTGGCCCAAGTTCCTGGGCTTCATTTCACGCTTATTTTCAGGGAGGCTAATGCCATTGCGGATAGCTTAGCTAAGAAAGGCGCCAATTCAGTTCTTCCTTTTGCTGTATTTAATCAATGCCCCACTGATATTGGCTGTATTTTGTATTCTGATACTATCGGGAATGTATTTCCCAGAATGACTGTAATGAATTAAGTTATTTATATTATTCTCTATTCACCAAAAAATAAAATAAAATAAAAATTTATAAATATATTAAATCTTAAAATTAGAATAAAACTGAACACTTAAAATACTAAATTCTAAAAATTTAAACCTAATACCCTAAATAATAAATTAAACCTTAAAAATCTAAACCATCACACTATAAAAACTCAATTGTAAAAAATCTAAACATTAACATCCTAAACATATATTTAATCTAGAAAAAAAAATTAAATCCTAATACCCTAAAATATTGAATTTTAAAATTTAAACCCTAATACCATAAATATTGAAATTTAAAAAAACTTAAACTAACACTCTAAATACTAAATACTAAAAAAATTAAATCCGAATATCTTAAAACCGTAAAGCCTAAAAATATAATCTAAACCCGAATACATTAAAGATTGAATCCTAATATTACAATCACCAAATTTAAAAAATCTAAATCCTAACGCCCTCAATTATAATAATTTTTTTTATTTTAAAGATTTAAATGTTTTTTTTAGTATAAAAACTTAAAAGTTACAATCCTATAAACTTAAGGGATTAAAGAACTAATTACGTCCTTTCTCATACACGCAAAATAAGGAATCAATGCCAAGTCAGCTCGGCCTTCTGTCGGCAAGATGGGCCTTCGGCTGCAGTTGCATTATTCAATTGAGAGACGTCATTGAATTCAGTTGCGTAACATGCGTCTCGGATTAGTGATGAAACAAGAGAAAAAGTTATTTTTTATTTTTTTAGGAAATATTTTTCATTATTTATTCTATGAAAATAGTAATGCTACATGTAATGAGAATGCTATGGTATAATACATTTTATATAGATTATATTATTTTTAATTATTAATAAAGAGGTGAACTTATAATATATGTTAGAGAGTTTGCCCACCTCTATTAATAGTTAAGAGAAGTTCAAATTAGTTAAGATAGATTTCTGTTTACTTTTCTAATACATAATTACCTGTAAATGCTTTTATAAAATAATATAATATTAAATAAATTAATATATATTAATTATGTGATATACGTGGCTTTCAGATAATAGGAAAATTTAGTGGGTTTGCTGGGATGACATTTGTCGTAGTAAGAAGTTAGGTGGGTTAGGGGTGGCAGATTTAAAGAAGGAAAATGGTGCATAATTAAGTAAATGGTGGTATAGGTCGTGGGAGGAGAAAGAGGAACTTTGGAAGAGGGTGGCGTGGGAGAAATATTCTGGGGGTAGGAAGGGAGACTGATATTACTTCGGGTAACGTTATAGGTGCAAGTTAATGACAACTCTCCATGCTTTGGCTTAGAGCAGGCATGCTAAGGTGGCAGATTTGGGGGGTTTGGAGGAATGAGGGTTGGGGAGTGGTAGTTGAATTACCAGAGGTAGATGTTATAACAATGATTGGAGGCACTAAAATTTTAAATATTAAGAGGTTTTGAATATTTTTTATTTTTTATTTTTTTGGAGTAATGTTACAAGTAAAATGTCAAGTTATATAATATATATTTTTTATTTTTAGTAAATTTAATTTAATTTTTTTATTTTTAATTTTTTATATATAAATTTTAAATAAGAATTTAATATATTATATAAATAATAATTAAAAATTTTTTATCA